AATTAATAAATGATTTTTTTCATTATTTTGTGAATCCTTGAATGTTCACTGTAACAAACACTAATTTCGCATTGAGAGAAAAATTTAGCAAGGCATACTAGACCTTTTTGTTTGCGACCAAAAGTGGTTGTTTTTATTAAATTATATTTAAAATATATTTAGAACAATCAAAAATATTTTTGAAGTAACTAATTATGTGATTAATTTGATCGTGTGATAGATTCGTGTTAATTTACTATTTCTTAACAGCTATGTAGTAAAAACGAATGAATATACTCTTAATAACATAGTTACGTAAAATGTAAATAGAAGAAACAATTATTCAATTCTACTCCATTAAGTTTTTTGTGAATATTAAAAATGTAAAAAATATTTTTCTAATCTTAGCATACAAACGAAAAAATTAAGTTGAATTTACCAAATTTTTCTCAGCATTGAAGACATTATAAGACATATTTTAACGAATGTGATTTTTTATTTGACTCCTTGCCAACAAGTAAAATTACTATTGAACTCTAAAATTTATCTGGACTTACTCAATGGTGTTTTAAAGTCACCAAATATTTTTTTTGATCACTAAACAAAAGATTTAGCAGCAGGGGCCCTCTTAGCAGGGGCTCTCTCAATGGAGGGCCCCTGCGACGAAATCGTCTCGGTGTCGATCGGTTACATTGCCGACGCAACAGTTAAAATTTTTTCGTGTGTGATTCTTGTCTCGTGTGTCCTATTGGAATACTTGAAGTCAGATAGCGAATTAGTATTCTGTCAAGTTGATGTGATTATTGAAACTCATCAGACTATTTATTTTGTTATGAATGAGTTATGCAAACGCAGTATTGGTGAACACCTCCAAGTTTAGGAACTCGTCCAAAGTCAAAAATTGTAATTTATTGATAATATCAAGCAAATAAGCTATATGAAGTTGGATGTCTATTTTTTAAGTTCACCAACAGTTGTAATATCAATATGAATAAATGAATAAACAAATCATAATAAGAATTTGAAAACATCGTTTATGGAACTCAAAGAAAATGACGTTCCTTATTTCAACATTAATAGGAAAACTATAACTAAAACTCACAAAGACAAAAAGAATATTGAAAATATCAAATATAAGGATGATAATTTGAAATTGTATTTCTTCAAAAAGTATGATGTTTGTTTATATATACATATATTATATACAGATTTTGACTGATCTATATAGATTCTAGATAGAGCACATTGGGACGAACATTTAAGAAGAAAACAAAAAAAGAAATCAGTTGGATACTTTCTGAGATATTTGCAAAAAAACTTTTCGGAAACAATAACCGATATTTCGGAAGCTACTCCACCGGTCGAGTTAAACTTTAGCACAGCTCAAGTCTATGTTAGGACCTATAAACTGACATACTAGATTTGGGGAACTGATTTATCCGTTTATTCTTCCTATTTTCTAAAAGTTGACCATCAATAAACCATTCGCACAGACACAAACTTCGTATTTTAATGTTTCCAGGTAACATTAGCGAATCGAAAAATCGACCTGTACAATGCTTCCATTCGGAAGCAAAAAACGAGATATTACCAGGTATACACATTTTCATAGCTGGGGTACTTACTAAAGCGAGTATTAAAAAAAAATGAAATCCATTGAGTGGTTCATGAGATATTCAGTAGTAATACTCCAAGATTTCAAAAATTATCGGATATTTCCCGATAACTTCGTTGTAAACGAATGAGGGTATCAAGTTTTGCAAGCTAAAAAATCCCGAGCGCTTGCGCGAGCAAAGTTTGAAGGAAATGGCCCATTAATTTCGAAGCTGGAGGGATATTTGTCAGATTATTTCTTCTCTCAGAATTGTAACCAAAAAAATTGTTTTCTGTTGTTCAGTTGCTTGCTCTTGACATCGGGGAATATCGGAAAAATATCCGGAATAATACCATGTGTGTAGCCCCAAATACAACAATTCTATTGGTTGTCAATCGTGTAATATCTCGAGAATCGCTTGGCCCATTGCGATCAGCCAAAATACGAACTATTTATGTTATTGAACGCATGCTTTCACGCGCATGACGACGTGTCTTCTGTCACAGACTATTAATCTGTAAGATTATACTGTTAAAAAATTAGTTTTTAAATTTTATAGAAATGCCTTAGAACGTTTAAACACAAGACATTCATATGAAATTTCCTGCTCATTATTACTGATTAGTCAGTCAGACTGTGAACTTTTGAGTGAATGAATGCACAGTGAGGAATGAGTGTAACAGATTTTCGCCTTCAACTTACGAGAGTTTCGATTTGATTCGATATAAATATTCATGTTCCTTTTACATAGGAATAGAGCTAATAGAGGAATAGAGTGTACAAAAGTTTAACTCGTTATTTTCATTTTCTGTTAATTTTTCGTATTCACAACGTTTATGATAATAAAACCTATAAGAAGGGGATATCGCGAAATTCCATCTTAAAAATTGTAGATATTTTGATTGATATAGATAGGCCCCACCGAGGCGGGTATTTTAGAAAAAACTATTAAATCCTTGAAGTAGTTTTTTTACTTTAAAAATAACCGCATGGTACAGCAAGGGTAGAGCATTGCGATCTAACCCTAAATATTACGATTTAGTCCAGTAAATTTTACTGGAAGTGCTTTGAAAAATGAATGACTATCACGAAAAAAATGAACTGTCCATTATTCAATCCGCCCCTTCTCCGAATATTTCAGCTTTTTAACAGTACATTTTACAACATAGACTGAACTTCAGCGAAAATTGAGGATCAGTCCAATAAATTTTCTTGCCCTGTGCAGCAAATATTCCGGGGAACTGCAGTGATTTTTTATGAATTTCACATGATTTGTCATTCGCACAGTGCAACATGCCACATTTACTAATTGAGAGCAGTAATTTTCCATGGATATTTTCTCTCAAACCAAAATTCTGCCTTTCAAATTTGTGCGCTGTCAAGTGCGACTCATAAAGGATATTTTTCCGACGGAGGAGGAAAAATAGATCATTTAGAAAAAAATGAAATTTAGAAATTTCGAAAGCATCTTCGTAGTGTTCAAACGGGTTTTTCAATGAGAAATCCAATATTATTTGTTCTCCAAGCAACTTGTAAACTTTTTACCTTTCATCAGCTATATCCAGGGTGTTCTATTTGAAATAATTCACTATATATATCCGAGATCTATTGCGCACTCCGTGCGCCGAATTCGAATTTCGACTTCGGATTCGAGTTGACCATTAAGGAATCAGTCTTACGAGTTTCGACTCAGGCGAACTTCATTTACGTATCTCTGCTTTCATGATAATGATAAGCACCAGATTGGAATTAATAGCGTACATTTTGGACACTTATTTTCCGAAGTGTGCAGAGACAGCAGGTTAGAAAACCGAGAACATTCCCCTCCAAATGCAGCAATTTCCGACGTGGGCTGCACATTATTCGCCCAGAAGAATGATATCCTCACTGCTATGATTTTTTTTACAATTGGGAAAGAATGCAGGATGAAGATGACTGCGCGGATGTATTAATGTAAGTATTATACTCTCATTTTCTCGAAATAATTCTCTCGGATTTTTAATTTTTTGCTTCAGAAAGAAAGCTTTGTAAATTTTCGAATATTCTGCGGAATTCACTAATAGAATTGGTGGAGTCTTGAGGAGAAAAAAAGACATGTTGAGCAGCCACCACATGACAGCGGCATAAAGCTTCTGTCGCTCAGCTTGCTAATCATTTTTTTGTCTTCTTTTGAGGCATATCATACCCTCATCCTCTGATATCGAACGCGCGGAATGGACGGGATGCTGCGGACGACCGTGTAGGAACGGGGCTGGTGACACGCGTTTTCTTGGTCACATATTTTTCAAACCCACTCTTGTCTGCCTTGATGAATATATTGAAGCCTGATGCGACTGGCTCATCTGCACACTGGGACAGACGGTGATCCACCAGTTCGGAGATCTTGGTTAATTCCAACATCAACAACTAATATTCCCTTCTTTCACCTCAACTGAAAAAAATCAGCGAAGGATTCACGAATTGAATGTGTTGGATTATTTTTTCCGTTCGAATATCAGTCAATGGATTGATTTGATTTGATTTACATGAATTCCCATGTAGTTATGTGACGCCATTATAAATGAATGAATTAAAAATTCATTTAATTCAATGATATTAGTGAATAACATCGGATAATACTCATCTATTCCACTCACATTATTTCATTTAAAAAATTGTTGCTGATATCTTCTCATTTTTTATATTTTTTTGATGAATTTCTGGGGCATCGTCGAACAGAATGTCGTGATAAAATATATGTTCAATACTCACAATCTCTGCTGGTCTTTTCTGCTGATCATTCCCTGATTCTGAGAACTGAATGATAGATGAAGTTTAAGCATCCACAAAATGAAAATATTATTGTAAGACTATGAGGTTACTATGAGGACTAGGACTATGAGGAACAGTACATTATTATCGGCCATTTTTTCGCATTGTTAATTTCGAATGGAAGCATTGTAATTGAGCAAGCATGCAATTTCTCATGCTTAGATGACTAACGTCGAGTATGACAGCCTTCATATAGCTCTTTCATTAAAGCATCTTAATCTTTTCGAAATTTCCGTTTCTTTGGGTAATGAAGTTTTTCGAAAAATATCCCTGCGTATGCATATCTGTGACCAAAAAGTTTTTTGACAATTACTCCAAAGATAATTTGTCACATTCATTGAACCCAAACTTAATTGATTTGGTGCAGTATCCTTGGTGGAGTTCAATGAAAAGACGATTAAGTTATTTAGATGTTTTGAGGCGAAATTTCCAAGTACCCATTTGCGGCAATATGCTCATTTGTGTCATAATATTCATCGTCACATTCGGAATTCTCTGATCTCCGGTAATCTTTATGATTTTTCGGAAATCGTGAGAACACGTATAGTAGTAAAAAATAATTGCGTAAAATATTCTTTACATCCATTTCCGTATTGCTGTGGACTTTTCGTATAAAAGAGCTTCAACTTTCGTACATTGCATCGTATAACGAAGATTTTAAACCGTAAAGCGTGAATACACCCAAGTGGTTTGCATCTGTTTTTCTTCTCAACTACATCTTGAGTTTCGCAATGAAGACTAATTCCTTGTGCTTCATGATATTGCTGCTTGTCCGTATTTCTCACCGTAAGTGTAAACGTGATTATATAATCATTAATAATAAATAATCAGATTATTGCCTAATTAATTGCTTACTTTTAAGATGCTAGAAGTGAGCAGATAGATTCTTCTGACCTTCCATTCATTGTATCCCTGTGGTTGAACGGGCAGCCCCACTGTAGTGGCCTTATCTACGATTCAAATCATGTTATCACAACTGCTTCCTGTGTGCAGGGAATTCTACCTGGTTTGCTACTTGTACATGCCGAAAGCATGGTGCTTCCATCTTTTAATGAAACACATTACTCTGTTCAATTCTATGTCACTCATCCATCATACAGCCAAATCGGAATGCAGGGCAAAGGTGGTTCATACACCAGAGATGATATTGCTGTCATAACGGTATTCAATTTAATATTTAATTGAAATAATTTTCAGTTCTTTGGCATGATCTCGATATTGTGAGACAGCTTGTGTAAATTATAAATCCTGGAATTATTCACCACTACTAATAATGATTTCCTTTCTCATTCTTCGAACAAATAGCTGGTCCAGCATTTCCCCTTGAGTGCTCGTCTTCCTCCAGCTTCGTTCAAGCAAAGTCGAGGATGGCTCATTTCTCTATTGAATCGTCGTCGTTCTTATACATATTTCGGATGGATTCGATCTGTCTTCGTATCCCGGCCACCACTCTTTTTACATGGGTCAAATGTTACCCTTGATCGGCATGTTGAAAAGAAGAATACCTACTACACAACAATTTTGCCAGATATTTATTCATGTAGGTGGCAGAGCTTGGTGCAATGTCAGGTGAGAACAATTGGCTCTATTGAATAATCTTTGTTTTTAGCATTATTATAATTATTATTTAATTTATTAGGAAAATAGAGGTACACCGATTTTTTCCGAGACAGATTCAAAAGTCATCGGTATTCTAACAGATTTAAGTTTTACACGGAATAGAGCGGTATTGGGGACATTTCTTAAGGTGAGAAAGTACATGACTTGGATTCAGCAGACTGTCGACAGAAATCATTTTTTACTTCGTGGATTTAGTGGAGGTTGAGTAAATTGATTATTCTTATTCATTGATCATTTCAGTGAAGTGAGTTAACATTTTTAATGTCACGTTATGTTTTGCTAATGAGTTATCTTCCTCGTTTCAAGAAAAATAAATAAAAATTGTCTTTCGCACGAGCTGTTGTAAAAATTATTCTGTTCTCTCCCTTTCTCTTTCGCATGCAATTTGACCGATTTTTTGATTGTCTAATTTCAATAGTAAGTTGACTAGAATTTTATGAAAGCACATGAAGCACTCAATGGATTGCCATTTGTTTTTTCTCAAAACATTCATCTTACTGGGCTTATTCGTCATATCTTATTCGTCATATCGTCTTATTCGTCACATCGAGCATTAAAAATATGTCTATGATGTTGCCATTTTTTCGTTTTTTAAGAATATTGTCGGTGTCCTAGACTGAATAGTTTGATGCAAAATTTTGATACCGTGAAATGAAAAAATGAGTTAAAATTTGGTATGATCATAGCTTTTATCCGTTCTACGTTGCTTGTTTATTTTTGGAAAGTTCCACTCTCTTAGTGAATGCAAATAAAGAATTCGAGTGGATAAAAGTGGGATTTTCTCTCAGAATCTGTATATTGTGCACAATGCCCATGGGATTGAGACATTTTTTAATTAGGAAATCAATTAGGAAATCAACTCACACAATCCATTTGCCCCTAACCAATTTGCCTTCAAAGAAACTCTGAAAATGGGTGATTTTTTGTGAAAATAGAGGCTTTTGACTGCCGACGACATAATTATTTCATCTTTGACGGCTAGTATTATTGTATATTATTGTTTGACGAGATCTACTGCGCACTCCGTGCGCCGAATTCGAATCTCGACTTCGGATTCGAGTTGACCAATAAGGAATCAGTCTTACGAGTTTGGACTCAGGCGAACTTCATTTACGTATCTCTGCTTTCATGATAAGGATAAATATCTTCTGAGGCCGGTAAGTAACAGGAAATATTTTGGGACATGAGTTGTATGGTTGCCAGGGGGACATTTGATGCATGCATTTTTTCCAGCTTTCAAGATTAGCCTTGAGGGCTGCAAGCATAGGACACTTTTTTTAATATAGCAATCGCATTGTTTACTCCAATGAAGCTCGTTCGGCTTGATGAGTTGATTTCAGATACTGCATCTTTCAGGTAAATTCCTTCGTTTTTACTCGGAAAATGCGACGCGAATGAATTCTGGTATGAAACTGAAGATTTAAACTTTCTTAGCGTGATCCAGAATGTACCACGTGGAGGTAAAGTTTGCTCGCATTCCTTACGCGCAAAAAAAATGAAAAATACCACAAACCTGGGTGGAGGTTCATGCGCTCCTGAGTTGCCACTGTTGAATTGGAAGTACAACTCAATTCTGTGGTCGAAATTTCCAACAATTTTTCTCAATACTTGGGGTGTAATGTTTGCAATAGCCTCCCTGATACGTCTCTGTAAGTGTGTCGGCGTGGTTGGTCGGTTCACGTAAACAACATCTTTGACGTAGCCCCACAGGTAGTAATCAAGTGGTGTAAGATCCAGTGATCGTGAAGGCCATGGAATGGGAAGACCTCGACCAATCAAAGGATTCGGGAAAGCTGCATTCAGATGATCCCTCACAGCTTGAGCGAAATGAGGTGGAACGCTATACTATTGGAACCACATTCTCTGTCTCGTCCGCAAGTTCACATTCTCCACCAGTGCTGGTAACTAATTACGCAAGAATGCCAGGTAATTCTGACCAATGACATTACCATAAAGAAAGTATCGACTTCCTCATCGACGATACCGCACTACACGTTCACACCCCAATTATGCTGATTAATGTGTCGTGTTCAAAGAAGATTTTCCCGTGACCATTAATAATAATTTTCTCGATTCAATGAATCAGTACGCTGCAACGTAGCCTCGTCAGTGAAGAAAACGTACTAGAAAAAATTTGGATTTGCATTCAGTTTTTGCAAGGCCCAATTACAGAAATTAACACGAGTCCGTTTGTCTTGTGCGCACAATACTTGAGTCAACCTTATGTGATACGGATGGTAGCAGTCAGATCGGAGGATTTTTTGAGCTGTGTCCCATGGTACACCTAAATCTCGTTCAATTTCTCTTTAACTGTTGTGCCGATCCATGTAAATCATAGCGAGGAAGGTAACAGCTCGAGGATCATTAGGATTAACTCCTTGTTGTTGTGGTTGTCATAGTCAAAGCACTCGTCCTATCCTACAATTTCGTTGAATGTTGCGAAATACTGCATGTCTGGGATGATGTCGATGATGAGGGTACCGTTCTCGCTATGTCCTGGCAGCGGTTCGAGACAATCCTCAGCATTCTCCTCAAGCGAGTGAAATCTCCCCAATTTCAATCGCTGACTACGGTGTAATGTGTTCAACGAAACTACAGGTGATACTAACTCGATTCTGGTTGAATTGAAATTTTTTCAAATAACAGGATATTCGAGGTAATGGGAAAATCTTTGTTATTGTTTACATTCCTGAGTACGGTTGGCGAATGGGTTAACTGGGATAAATGGGATGTGTGAATCTCCCGTTTGACAGCAGAACTCATTTTCGTCGCAGTTTTTGAGTAAACACGAAGGAATGGACATGAATGATGAGGTATCCGAAAACAATTCATTAGGGCGAACAAGTATCATCAGGGTAAAACATGCCATAACCATTTGAAAAAGATCCTTATGCTAGCGACTTGCAAGCATGACTTTGAAAGCTGCAAAAAATGCATTCATCAAATGTGCTCCTTGAAACCCTACAACTTATGTCTCAAAAGATTTCCTGTCACTTGCCCCCTCAGGAGACATTACGTGGTTTCAGATGGGACACCCTGTATATCCATTCCTCCTCCCTGCATTTATGAATGAGTGGCAAAAAGTGAAAATAAACCTAAAAAAAAGTGATAGAAAGAGGAAACTGTCCGCTTTTTTTACTTAACCATTTCACTCTCGGCCCATTTTGCACTCACCTCGATATTTTTCTGATTTCACCGCGTTTTTTCAAGGAACATGCTTTTTATGGTGCAATCGTAAATAGAAACTATAGTTATTTATGAAAATACCAAACATCTAATAACGGTACACTGACAATTGCATTTCGACGGAGATTAATCGGCTTCAATTACTCCCGGAAATATTCTAACCGATATATTCGGTGACACTCGATTGGCTTCTGCTGTTGCTTTCGTTTTATTCGTCGAGAGAGATATTAATATTGGGTATGGGAAAGGTGGGAAAGGGGTTAAGGGGATGTGGATGGAGATGACCCAGATATGAAAATTTGATAATTGATTGATCGCTGAGCCCCGAAATGCTATTTATTTCTGACATACATTCCTGCAGAATTTTTGTTATAAAACGAATATTGCTGGGGCAGATGATTAAGTAAAAATGCTAAATCGGACTGAACTTGAGGATTGTGAAATATTAATTACACGACCCAGATTTTCTATATTCAAAATAGGTCGTTAGTTCAATTCAGAAAAAGAGAATGGAATGGGGACAGTTGCTAATGTTTCATTCATGCTCTTGTTAAATTCTTACGAGTTTGGACTCAGTACATTTAAAGCTCCCATTCCAGGAGCGTTTCCAAATAATTTTTCCATGGCACTGGTCATTATACTTTGAAAAGAACAATGAATGCGATTGGAGAACCACCTGATTTGGAGCACTGAACTAATATTCTTATTACCCACCACGCCAGATATTTCAAGCGGTAATAATTTGTTATAATTTACTTCTTATATTAGTTGAACACATCCTGTACTTTGCTGTTAATAAACAATGCAATATTAGACATTTTTTCTTCAATAATTCTTCTTTCCTCTCTGCTATTGTCGATCGCATATTCGATGTTTATGTTTATGGAAATAAAATACAAAAGTATTTGCAATGGTAAAAACTTATTCAAACGTGACCAGTGAAATTTGACACATTCTCATCGATAACTGGTAATCAAATTGATAGAATTGGAAAAATCAAACGGCATTTCAAAAAGTTTGTTAACATCTTTACAGCGATATACACAATATCCCCATCAATTATAGCGAATGCTACGATCAATCGCAATAAACCTGACTTTTAGAGGGTGGCACAACGGCGAAAAATACAAATACAACCGATGTTATTTCAAAGGCCATAAGCGTGAAAATAACATTTTCGCATTTAAATCCCATCGTTCCATGGAAGATGGTGAAAACCACACAATAAAGCATACTTTTTTTGAAGATTGCTGTCCATGTCGGTCAGAAAAATGTAACGTAAATTTGGTCTATATTCGTTTCCCCTTATGTATGAACATATTTCTATTAATAATTACGTGAAAAATTTTCAGTATATTGCCATTTTCTCTCGAATCAATGTCCTGCTGCATTGCGGCAAATCCGAAATGTCTAGAGTAGAAAACCAGAGCAAAAATTTTGCGAAAAAGTACATTTTCATGCACATTTGCTGGGTATAATTCTTGAATTGTTGCTATACGCAAGAGAGGAAATTGAAAGTTTGGCATCTTACAACGAATATGGTAAATTATTTTTCAACTTGCAGTACCTGGTAAATTTTACCATCTAGCATAATGGAAATTTTATTTCTCTTTAGTATTTAATACCATAGAACTGTAGTAAAGGCTACAGCAATTATAACGAAATATGACATACTCCATTGCTTGTAGTAAAGATTGTTTTATTAAAACGTAGGAGTGAAGCAATTTTTATTACCCAACAACTACAAGAATATTTTTTTGACAGACAATAATCACATTTAATTGATATGGATAAATAAAAGTCGTCGAAGCTCATTAACATATGTAGGTACTTCTGGGAATGAAGAACTATATTCTAAAACGGTGAATTTGAACTTTTGGTTGAAAATTAAATAAATTTTTTACTTCAAATGTCAATTTTATAAGAGAATTTATGCACCTTAGCAAATTAGTAAATCTATTTGACATCAATTTCAAAACGACTTCCTAGTTTATTATAATCAAGTTTTAGAACAATTTTTTTTTGTCTTGGTATTGTTCTATTATTTTTGTAATTTCTTAAAGTGTTTTTTATCGTTTACTATATCATATTGGCCTTATTACTATGTTGTATCGTAATTTTTCCTATGCGTCTATGGGATCCTGTAC